AAAAAAAAAATCATAGTTTTGCTAACTTCTGTCCATAAAATAATTGGAAATTGACCTACAAAATAAAGGGGCAAAAGTATAAACCAAACAATTATATAAAGAATCATGTCTCTTGGATACATAGTCTTTTTGCCAAGTCCTTTGTGTAAATCCTTACACCATACATATCTTTTTTTTCTCTCTCTTTCTCTCTTTTTTTTTTTTTTTTTTTGGTAGTTGCTTCTGAGAAGATTGGAAATATATTTAGTTTTCATCTCCTTTTTTTTTCCACTGGCTGGCTGGCGTGGGGATCCAAACCCTTACCCTTGGTGTTACAACACTGTGCTCTAACCAACCGAGCTAACTGGCCAGCCCTCATCTACTTTTGATGCATTAGAAAATCTGAAAGTCTCGTCAATCTCTTTCCTGGGCACAGTGAAGGAAATAAGGAAGGATAGTGTACAAGCATTCAGTGGAGCACGTGTTGTTGCCCTGCTCAACTGCTGAGCTTGTTGTACTTTAATTCAGATTATATTAACTAAGTTTTTATAAGATGAAAGTTAAAAAAATTAATTGTATTTACCTGTCATGAAAAGTGAGCATATACATTCATGTCTCAATAATCACAATCAATTGGAAAAAATAACCATTTTATTTTATTCAGCAGAAATTTTCTGAGAACCCACTAAGTGCAAAGTTCTCTGCTAGCTACTTTAAGCATATAAACACAAGTAATATATAAATTCCTACCTTCCAGGAATTTATAGTTTCATTAAAGGAAATGAAGCATGTACACAAATAAAAAATCAAAATAGCATTTGGTGAGTGCCATTAAAAAATGAATGGAGGACTAAATAAATTTTTTTAATTTATTATTTTTACTTATTTTTTTTTAGAATGACCGATTACTTCCAGTTAAGAAGTGGCTTCAGGGGAGGCAGTATTTTAATGGGGCCTTGGAGAGTAGTTGAATTTTAGGAGCTCAATGTTGTGGAACTGGAGAGGGGGTTAAAGAGTCAGTGTAGAGCATTTGGGGAGTATTCACAAGAAGCTCACTGCGATGGAATGTGTTATATGCAGTCAGGAAATTTAAAACAAAATTGTGGAGGCTCTTGAGAACCATACTAAGATGTCTAGATTTTATTCGGGAATCACTAGAGAGCCTCTTGGAAGGTGTTGCAGTTGAAGTTTAAGACAATAACTCTAGCAGCAATAGAGACTATTAGAGGAAGGAAGACAATATTGGTATGGTCAGGAGAATATGAATGAGGTCCTGAAGAAAGATGATATCCATGAGACTGAAAAGAGAGCAGAAGGACCTGAGTGTCATTGATAAAATAAAATCAGTAGTTTCCATTCCCAGGTACTAAGAAGGTGAGAGAAATTGGGAGGTCAAGGAGAAGTGTGCGTCTGGGAAGGAGGGAAATAATGTGGGTAATTCCTAATTTGAGCAGGCATGTAGGAATCTCTAGAAACAACTGGAAATGAAGGTCTGGGATTTAGTGGCGTTGCTGAGTTTAGGAGCACTAGAGAGGAAGCAATCTGCACAGAGGCTAGTAGATAAACCTGGGGATGACCTTGCCAGGTAAGTAAGAAAAAGAGAAGCTGGTAGAGAACAGAACTTAAGAATGGTGGCCCATAGGACAGAGTCAGAGACAGCTCACAGGGCATGAGCAGTTGGAAAGAGTAGGAAGCGACAAGTAAGTACCAAATTAGGAGAGCCAGAGAGAGGGGAGTTTTAAAGAAGGCTTGATTAAGTGTGGCAAACCTGGAAAAGATGTCTAGAAAGGTAAGGAGAGCATAAAGACAATTAGATTTGGCAAAGGAAAGAACAGAGCCGGGGTGGTGGTGGAGTGAGAGTGAGTGGTGGGAGAAGCCTGGCAGTGCGTGGGTGTGGGTTGGACTCCTCTGAAGTCGGGAAGTAAGGGGAGAAGACAGGACCTCAAGGCACGGGCAGAGTCCACAGAATGCTTTTCTAAGATGGGCTAAAATAGGACAGAACAAATGGTTATGATAGGAACAAAATTCATAGACACTCTGTCCATTCCTTCACCAGGTAACTATTTTCAAAAAG